AAAGAGTGAAGGGGAAAGTCAGGGAAAAGCGAGGGGGAAAGCAAAACCTTGGCGGTTCCAGATACCTCGGGCACAGAGACTTAATTTAACTAAGCTGAGCACGGCTTCCTCCACGTTTGAAAAAGCCAAACGGGATCATAAATGGACAAGGGCCCGTTTGTCTACCTCTCTGGCAGTGTGGATCATCACAGCATGGATCTTTTAACACACACAACGCACTGCTATTAGTCTCATTAGCTGCATTTTATTTGTACATTGAAAGAGTACATAGAGGTGTCAGTAGCACAGACTGCATCAGCTCCTCTTTACTAAAAAAAGCTCAATATATATACAGCCTTAAAATGCTCCCCCTGTATCTAGCACACTGTATTAAAACTACGCTTATATAAACTACAGTGTTTTACATAGTTGTATGTATTTTAGGATATAATAAAAACTACCAGGTGGCATGTTCTGTTATCCTTTCTCACTGTCCTGATGATCTAACTGTTGTAGTAAATTATGGATATGCATAGTTTATTTATTACTTAAAACAATTTCTGTTAGAGAATATAGGCTATGGAGACAAAACTGTTGTATTTGGAGATGCAGAAAGTATTTTTGATGCTTTGTGGTTTCTGTTGTTAGGGCTGCATCCTGCAGCTTTTCCTTTGGAGCAGCAAGAGCAAAACAATGCTCTTCTTGAGACACTGTTTAAACCTGAGAAATGTTCCATAACCCCTTTTGTTTATCAGCTGGGGCTCTTTTGCTCTGCCTCTTAGCTGCCTTGACCTCTCGTGCACTAACTCAGCAGGACAGGTGAGCTGGCCTCCCTGAGCCTCCAGCTCCAGTCTCCTCCTGAAGCTGGGAGTGGTGCTGAGCTGGGCTTTCTGACCAATCAACATAGATACTCAGCAAAAGCAGCAGCCTGCACACAGTTCATTTTACTCACTTTCTTCTTGTTGTCCTGTATGAACAAGCTAGACTCCTATGGATCACTTTATCCTCTTTATTAAGCCTGTCTCTGCAGAGACCACTTTAATTTATTTCAACATGATAGCCAAGTCTCAAAATCCCCTTGGCTCTTGAAACAGTACAATCCGCTGGTATTGGATACATGAGCTCTTTTCCTCCACCAGACAAATGAAAAAAAAACAACAAAGAGACTTCCCACAACACAGTTTAAAGAAACATCACTTGCCAGCCATACCCACTTCAAAAGTAAACTGGGAACATCATAAGACATTGCATTTGCTGGCAGACATAGGAAACATCTTCATTTTTGTCAGATTTGTTAGCTTAATCCTTGGAGAGGTATTGCTAAAACATGCTGCAGAGGGTTGGTTTGCATCTACTGGTCTGATTGAACCAATGGGACTGGCACAGATTTGGGATTTGGAAGGCAGCGTGTAGTAATTCAGATGGCTGGCTGGGCTAAATTGCCCAAGTAACTAAAAATAAAACCAGGTTGAGCACCTCTAGCAAAAAAGAAGTCCCATCATTTAAAAGCAGAATAAGATCAGTTATGTCTCTGACAGTAATAATTTTATTTCATAGCAGTGAAGCAAACACTGGGTAAGGCTGTGATGTTCCAGGTCACTGGTGGGTTGACTCCTCAAGGGAATCTTTATGAATAATCATCTTCTGCAGCACTGTTCACATCTTGGATGTTGGAAAGCCTGTGGGAACATCTCTGTTTATGACAAGAGACCATGTTTCACGTCCAAAGTAAAATCACGAAGCTCACTTGGCACAAAGATGGTGAGCTAGCCCTGAGTATGAAGGAATAAAGGACAGTTTCCTTTGCTTAGCCTGCTTTATGCAAAACCTCCATATTATCCACGGCAGCAATGCAGCAACAAGACATGATAAAACAACCCAATACAGTATGTGGTATGAAAACTTACCAAAAAATACCATCTAAGTGAACAAACAGGCCCTCTGATAGACAACTATGTTGGACAAGGACAGTGGAGAGCCTTTGCAGGAAAACAGTCCCTGTCACCCTGACAGAGGCTCTGCATGCCAGGACTGCCCTATTTAGAATGACTGCCTTAGTCTGTAGCCACCCAAAACACCAAGGCAGCACGGTCTGCTCACATCCTCCTGTCTAACCTTTAATGGCTTGGCAACTTGGCAAAAGCCTGGAGCTACCAAGGGGAAACCCTTCTTGGAGCAAAGGCTGGCTACAGCCTGAAACACCTCCAGCTGCTTTGGTTCCAGAAGGTTTGCTGGCACTGAGGTCATATTTAAACCTCAGCCCAGAAGGATTCTGCAGATACAGCTTGTGGCGACCAAAACCCAAACTTACTGCTTGTGAGCTGTGCTGAGGGAAGAACACTGGAGGATAAATCATCTCATGGTGTACAGATGACCTATAGCATATAACCCTTTTTGTGGGCTGGGCTATTTGTTAAGCACAATTTGTTGCTGAAATAGTGATTAATGTGAAAAAATGGCAATAGATGTTGACTTTCCCTTTAATCTACAATAAATTAAAATTATGCCTCAGTCTTGCAGTAAACCACAAAGACAGATTTTTACAGACAGACCTCAAGAAACCAAAATAAAGTGTATTCTGGAATGCCACTGGTCACCTTTAGAGTTCATCAGCAACCACGAAGAAGTAGCTGTAATCTTAAATAAACTACTAACAGGTTAGTTTAAGAGTCAAGATAATTTCTACGCTTTGTATGGCTCTTTGCTTTCTTTATGAGATGTTCAATTCAAGGTAGGTTTCTGGGTAAAATTTAGCTCATTCTCTTAGATGTCAACATTAATCCTAATGCAGTGCAGTCTCCTGTGAATGACTTCAAATTGAAGAGTCTCTCTGAAAAAGGATGAAATAGACATGTCATGCAGTAAGCAAGTAAATGCAATCCCTGATTAATATGCAAATTTGAAAAGTTCAGAAAATGTCATCATACTTCATAGGTGCACCCTATTTTTTGAAAGGTCTTTTCCTGTTTTGTTTGTATATAAATGCCATTCTACATGAATCTCACTCCAGCAGCTTTTCATAAACTCAGGTCGATGATGATATGTTCAAATATTTGAGTGTTTCCTTTAAAACTAGAGGCAAAGAAAAAATCTCTTCGATCGGTTGACACAGCTGTGAAAGACCGTGGTGCTTGCACATAGATTTCTTTAAATAATCTGAAGATCATCTTTTCACCATCCCACTGGTAAATCTGGGAAAAGGTATAGTCACTGCCCAAGGCTAGGTAGTAGTTGTTCTTGAAGGAGAAAGGCTGCAGCGTCATGGCTCCTCGGGATGGAAGAGCCTGTATCTCCACAAACTGTTTGCTATTCCATTTCATAACTCTGGAGTCACCAATGTATCTTGTCAGTGTGAGGTACAGGTTGTCTTGCATCCTAAAACTCTTCACAGACAAGACATCTTCCATGTTGGGGATTTCACTGTGTGGGACAAACTTTTTGGAAGCTTTGTTCCACTGCAGTATGATAGGAACCTGCGAGCGGCTAGAGAGGATTAAATGTGATTTCCCATCTATATCAAGAAACTCAGCATCAGTGTCCCTGAACCACTCGTGAAGGGACTGGTATGAGTAAAATCCTTTGTTATTCCACTTGTACACTGTTGACAAACCTGCTTTAGAACTATCTGCTATGACAAAAAACATTTCACTTTCTATCTCAAAAAACTCTATATCGTTTGGCTTGGAAATGCGAGACACTTCGATGTCCTGGAATTTGACAAATTTTGTCCAGCTTTCATCATACTTGTAAATGTGTGAGCCACCAAAGAGCTGTGCCACCACCACAAAGACTTGGTCACCAACAAGAATGGCTTTACATCCCACTATGGACTGACCTATTGCCCAAAGGAAAAAGAAAAAAAAAAGAAAGCACATATATTACAAAGTACTCTTTAAACCACAGAGAGATTATCAAATCACCCCTCCTTTTTCAAAAAGTCTGAACCATCTTTTAGTTTTGTCTTCTGCTACATGCCATCAGAGCTGCTTTTCATGCTTTTTTCCCCCCAATAACTGGAAAGATAATTTCAAATGTTGGAAATGACACACCCCTCAAGGTGTGCAAGTATGATAGACCCTAAAATGCTCATTCCTTTTAATCTGGAATACTTTATCTATATGTTCAAACACATGCCCCATAATATCCAAAACAATTATTTAAGCCAAACTTTATTATTCAGAAATAACAAGAGCTGTT